CCCGGCCATTGCTTTCAATTCTTATCACTTACATGCATGTTCATCTTCCCTAGTAAACGATAAGCTACACTTGTCTTACTCCTCTTTGTATTCCTCCAATGCTTAGCACAATAGTACTTTCCAAGCAGTTTAATGTATATAGGAACGAGCGGGGCATGGTGGCACACACCTGTAATCCCAGCATTCAGGAGGCTGAGGCGCGAGGATTGCCATGAGCTCAAGGCCAGCCTGGACAACACAGCAAGACCCTGTCTCAAAAAACCAAAACTATAAAGTCTATAGGAATTAATGAAAGACTTCATATTTGCTTATATCACCTGAATAAAAGGAATATTCCAATTCTGCATCATCTTTCAGTTTACCTACCTAGACAGAAGGAAATTAATGACTACACCTAATGGAAAGGGCTTACAATTCAATAATGCAAAACTCTTGACAGACATTCCATAAAAGTGGTAGTGTCTGTTTTCAAGTCCACTAAGCAAGCCAGCTTTCCAATGTTAATATGAATGACTGAAAGAAAGCTCAGTATCTGCTTTGGCGAACTCTCTTGAGACTAGATATCTTGAAAGCAGTTTGCTGCCTTCCACATCACCCAAGTCTAATTATATACTATTATATTAGGATTGTATTAAATTACTTGTTATTCAATAAAATGATCTATAATTTTAGTCACTCTAGAACTAATTTATATGCTAACCCAGAAAACATGCAAAACAAATTCAGTGGTGATCCTCTGAACTTGATTCTTAATCACGTTCCTCCAAACATGCTTAACCTCATCATGTCTTTTTCCTACGTAGGTAATATATAATCTTTGTATGTACAGGTGCCAACTCATGATCAATGTAATTATTACATACCGTGAATATGTACTAATTTTTTTACAAAGATACTTTAAGTACATAAATTAGCTTAGTTGATGTTTTGAAATTAGTATAACTGGGCCGGGGATATAACTCAGTGGTGCAGTACCTGCCTGGCAAGCACAAAGTCCTGAGTTCAATTTCCAGTACCAAAATAAATAAATAAATAGTATAATTAACAGCACCTCTGAAATTACATTTTAATTAACTATACCTTGCATAAAGTTACAGGAGAAAAAATAAACTTCCAAACTTCTATAAAACAGCCACAAACCTAGAAGAATCTTTAAAACCAGGAATATAAGACTTCGTCTTTAGAGTAAATCTAGAGTGCTTCCTGTGCCCAAATAATCCAAAAATAATCCTGTATCACAGTGAAATGCCAAAATCACCAAGTTTTCTAATGCTGTAACACAAAACATTATAAATCCAATATCTAGTCATTTTCTGTAATAAAGGGGCTATAAAACTAATTATCATCTTCTACATTTCTTCTTGTATAATCTGTTACTACAGTAAAATGGTAACTAACATAATACTAAAGTCAGAAATACCAGACAGAACACATCAAAAGAGAAACAATTGTATAGTTAAGGAAAGGTGCAAAAAATCAATTTTCCTGTTTGCAACTACATAACTGAGAAAGTACAGTAAGTTAATAATTAAAGAAATAAAATACCAGCATTTGGGACGCTGAGGCAGGAGGATCATTGCAAGTTCAAGACCAGCCTGGGCTACAAAGAGCTCAAGGCCAGCCTAAACTGCATAGCAAAACCCTGTCTCAAGAGAGAGAGAAAGAAAGAAAGAAAAGAAAAGAAAAGAAAAGAAAAGAAAAGAAAAGAAAAGAAAAGAAAAGAAAAGAAAAGAAAGAAAAAGAAAGAAAGAAAGAAAGAAAGAAAGAAAGAAAGAAAGAAAGAAAAAGAGAAAGAAAGAAAATAACAGCAGCACTGCCATCCTCTAAAGTATACTCTAGTAGTACAGGCTCACTAACTGGCTTGCATTCTGCCAAGTTTCTTTTTCTGGTTAATTCACTTGCCTTCTACATTCTTAACATTCTAAGGAGGATGCCCATCTCTGCCAGCATGGGGAAAAGTCCATCCCGAAGCAAAAGAAACATTTCCTGCTATAAACACTCTAAGTAACAGATCAGCATTTAACTTTATGAGGAAAGAATTTACCTTTTTCTAAAAGAATGCTTTTGGACAGCTCACAAATGTAACTGTGAGAAAGGCTCCAAAAGTAATTAGAAAGGAAAGAAAGGGAAAGGAGGAGGGGAAGGGCAGAGGGAAAGCAAAGTCCATGTTCTTTTCTTCCCCTTTCATTTTTGGAACTATTTCTGCAGTACTACTGACACCCATAAAACCTTTTCTTAAGAAAAGGTACATGAAGGGGCTGGGGATTTAGCTCAGTGGCAAAGCGCCTGCCTGGCAAGTGCAAGGTTGTGAGTTCGGTTCCTGGTACCGGAGAAAAAC